TGCAGATTTTGTGTGATTTGAACGCTTAGAAGTGAAACTAAAGACACAGGTGTTGTTTAATTTCATTGGTGATTCCTATTATGAAATTCAACCGTAAGCTTGGCAAATAGCTTTTGGAGAAATAAATGTTTCCCTATTCAGACAGACTGCCCGAGCATGCTGCCTGAGAGGTGTTTCAAAGATGGCAGCTTAGTGAAATGACTTGCCTTAAAGGGACTTTAGCATAATGGAGACAGGTGATTGGTCATGTGAGTGTGATGTCTGCTATGCTAGAGATTATTCAGCAAATTAATTTCCATTTCGCATTATTCACATACTTTTTTTTGCACCACCTCTAATGAGCAGAAAAGCTTTTGTGAATTTACTGAGTTTAAAATTATTTATTTATTGTATTTTGAAAGGATCCATCACTTGTTTCTTCTGTAATTCTTTAAAATGGACATTAAATCAGGATGATTTAACCCAGCTACTGTCACAAATAGGACTTTCCTTTAAAATGAATGTAAAATTGCTTTCTGTTTTACCCTTAGGTCATCAATCAAGTAGACAAGAAGTTTCTTGCTTGTTTGATAAATACAGCAGGGCAGAACACCTCTGAAAGCAGTACGGATGAAGGTATTGTGGGCTGAAAATCACAATGTTAAATGATTATATAAATCTAAACTTTTGTCATTGCTTCTCCTGGCAGGGAATCTTCTAGTGCTGGTTGATCAACATGCTGCCCATGAAAGAGTTCGACTAGAGGGTTTAATAGCAGGTAAATGATAGTGATAGAAGTAGATAAAAAGTACTACATAAAAAGACATTTTATATATTAGATAATAGTTAATAGCACCAAATAATCATATTAAATTGTTTTCAGAAGGAGTTGAAACTTTTGCTTAACAGTCCTCGAATCAAATGACATTAAATGTATTAAATACAGTTATTTAAAAAAATACTGTTTTACTGTAGATGCTTTTATTAGCATAAGAGATTTTTTCAAAAACATTAATAACCTTTAGACCCCAAACTTAGCTTATAAGAATATAAAAACAAAATGAAGTTCATATAAAAGCATTAAAAAGTCTAATACACATCAGGTGAGATACATCAAAGTATTCAATATATTTTTACAAACACTGCTTGTTTTTTTTTAATAGACTCTTACGAGGATGACCCAGACACACCTGGAAAAAAGAGGCTGTGTTCCTCACGTGTAACCCCACCTTTGGAGATTAATGTAACCGAGGAGGAATTGAGACTTTTGAGGTCAGTGCAGCTGTTTGAGTCAGCATTCCTGAATCCACCGTCGTCTCCTTTTTGAAATGTACATGTGTGCTCAATTAGTTCTGCACCCTCGCCCAAACAAAATGGTGTCATAAATCTTTCTTTTGTTCTTCAAGGTCTTGTCAGGGTTTCTTGAGAGGTCTTGCGTTAGATGTGAGGTTTCCGAAAAGTGAGTCACTGAGTGTGTTTTTGGAGAGTCTGCCCGCATGTTTCATAGAGAAAGAAAGCACAGAGCTCCGCCGTGGAAGGCGCTCGGTAATTAAAACCATTGCAGAGGTCAGGCTCAGTTCTTATTAGTTTTTTAACTGATTTAAGTTCAGTTTAGAGTCATATACTGTGTGTTTTATCCCGCAGGACTATCTGCGAGAACACATTGAGGTGAGCTGCCATGTAGAGATGTGATTTTTATATCTTTCTTTGAACAAAATACTATAAATTGTATGGTTTTGGAGCTTGAAGTATATATTTATGACCAATTTTGTTCTTTTGACTTGTGTTTGCAGCTTCTTCGCTCAACAGGAAGAGTGAGAGGAATTCTGCCTCTGACAGTACATAATGTGCTTGCCTCTCAGGCTTGTCATGGTTGGTTGGTGACATCAACTTAAAAATGTTTTGTTTATAAACTTTCATAGGCAGTTTTACTAATTTTAAGTATGATAACATTTCAGTGTGCACTTTTTTATTAGACCTTAAGTACATATAGATAAGCTCTAATTAAGCTGTTTTTTGCAGTGTGGTGTATAACAGTTATGAACATAAAAAGTTGCAAGTAGCTACAATAGATTAAGTTGTCAACTCTCCAAAGAAAGAAGGGGTTGAGATGAGGCCGAGTTTTTGCACTGTAGGCTAATCCACTTTAGATATTAACAGTGCTTGTATTGGTATGGTAAAATCAACACTAGTTGCACTATTTATGCCTTCTGGGAGTTAAAATTCAGATAATGAATTTTTATGCTGTAAGTCAGGGGTGTCCAAACTCTGTCCTGGAAGGCATGCATAGTTTAGCTCCAACATTCTCCAAGACACCTGCCTGGAAGTTTTAAGTATACCTAGAAATAGCTTGATTAGCTGGTTCAGCTGTGTTTAATTGGGGTTGGAACTAAAATATTCAGGACACCGGCCTTCCAGGACCGAGTTTGGACACTCCTGCTGGAAGTGGTTGATCAATCCCAACAACCGGGGCAATCTGACCGATTAGAGGAGTGTGGTGTCTGAATTTAGGGGTTTAGCCAGACCAAATCTTTAAATGAACCATTTAAGACACTGAGAGATAAAAGTTGAGCCTGTATCAATGTAAATAATTAGAAACTGAATTGTTTTAAATGAAAGATGTTACAAACAACACTAGTGCTATTTATATAATCTGAGAGTTACAATTTAGATGTATTTTTTTTTTCTATGCTGTAAGCGATAGACCAATCCCAACAACCAAGGCAATGTAACCAATCACATGAGTGTGGGATCTGAATATAGGGGTTTAGCCAGACCAAATCTTTAAATCATGGGTCTCAAACTCAATTCCAGGAGGGCCACAGCTCTGCACAGTTTTGGCTCCAACTCTAATCAAACACAGCTGATGTGACTAATCAATATGTTCAAGACTCTTTAGAACACCTTGATTAGCTGGATCAGCTGTGTTTGATTAGGGTTGGAGCAAAACTGTGCAGAGCTGTGGCCCTCCAGGAACCGAGTTTGAGACCCATGCTTTAAATGAACTATTTCAGACACATAAAGGTTGAACCTGCATCAATGTATATAATTAGAAACTGAAGTGTTTTGAATGAACACTAGTTGAACTATTTATATCATCTAGGAGTTAAAATTCAGATATGAGATATTTCTATGGTGTTAGCGGCAGACTAATCCCAACAATCAAGACAATGTGATAGTAAAATCAACACTAATTGAACTATTTATATCATCTGGGAGTTAAAATTTAGATGTGAAATATTTCTATGCTGTAAGCGGTAGACCAATCCGAGCAACCAAGGCAATATGACCAATCAGGGGTTTAGCCAGACCAAATGTTTAAATGAGCCATTTCAGACACCGAGAGATAAAGGTTGAGCCTGTATCAATGTATATAATTAGAAACAAGTGTTTTAAATGAAAGATGGTAAAATCAACACTAGTTGCACTTTTTATATCATCTAGAAGTTAAAATTCAGATATGCAAATTTTCTATGCTATAACCGGTAGACCAATCCCAATAACCAAGGCAATGTGACCAATCAGATGAGTGTAGGACCTGAAAATCCGCTTGTTAAGTCGTGACACCGGTGACATTTAGAAATCTGTTTCCAGGTCCAAGCTGCTACTCATTTGAATTGAGAAAACATTTCTTTATGGACACTTTTTAGTCCTAACACATATTAAATTGAATTTTACATAAAATCATGGGTCTCTGGGCTTGCTGCATCACAAATACCAAATAATTTAATAATTTATTTTAAAAAATTATAATTTTTTGGCCATCGGATATTAGGCATGCATTTATTGCGATCGGGATTTTTCAAAAGTATCACACCGCTTTGTAAATGTTTATTATTTCTGTTTGATAAGTCTCTCCATGCAGTTTGATAGAGCGCTTGGACCTGGAAGCCGCTTTGCTTGACGTCACACTTAACAAGCAGATATGTGTTTAACTAGACCAAATGCTTAAATTAACCATTTCAGACACTGAGAGATGAAGGTTGAGTCTCTATCAAAGTATATATTGAGAAAGTGAAGCGTTGTAAATGAAAGATGATCTACAGGACATGCCTTCATCAAAATGTTAAATATTTAATAGCATAATAGGTGCACTTTAATAATTAATATATTGTTAAAGTATTTTAAATGCAATGAATGTAAGCTTGCGGTTAATTAATGAGAAGTGAGGCTTAAATTCACTAAATGATTGGAGAATTCCTGCAAACGGCATTTATTTTGAAGATCTGATTATACATTTTTATTAAACAGTGCAGTGTCAAAATGTAGGATAAGTTGCAACATGAACATAACATGAATTTATAAACTAGATAAGGTGAATTTTCAGAGTTTAACAGCATATAGGTCTAGTCATTTGGTATTATTAAGATTTTTTTTATTTTAATTTTATTCCCCCCCCCCAACAGGAGCAATTAAATTCAATGACGTTTTGAATAAAGAGGAGTGCTGTAGTCTGGTGAGCTCGCTTTCCTCTTGTCGGCTTCCTTTTCAGTGTGCTCATGGAAGACCCTCCATCGTCCCTCTGGCAGATCTGCACCACTTGGAAGAACAGCAGGTGAGTTTCAAGCAAATCTGATCTTATGTCTGCCCACTTTTGTCTATTATGAACATAATGATGGTTATAATAAATATCATGACAAATTACTGACAAGCATATCACGATCACCCAACACTCATTAATCCAGATTTGTTTTGCTCATGTCATTTTTTTTTTTGGTTTAATTTTTATATCCCCACAGGATATTCCCAAACCAAATCTGAAGAAACTAAGAAGAATGTACAAGTCATGGCAGCTGTATGGACAAAATCAATATTTTGCACAGAACAAAGCATAAATCTATAAGCAGAAACCTCTTTTGTATTAAATAATTTATTTTAATAGAGATATTCTGGTGCTTTTATTGCTGGGTGGCTTTTATTTTGTTACACCCTTCGGCGCACATAGTTGTTGGCAAAAACAACTCTTGTGGGAGAGAAAAGCCAATAATAAAGGACTATACTCGAGCATCAAGTATTTTCCTCCAATCATATTGTGCCTTGGAACGTTGTGGTCCAATCAACGCAAACGTAGGAGGGCGCTAAAATGGATGACGTTCCTCTCCAGCTCATTGTTGGTGCATTTCGTTGGTCGGTGGAAGCTGCGGCAGGAAGAACTGAGGTATATCTAAACAACAAATATTACTTTAAAGGCGAGTTTGCGCGCAGAAGTGAAATGTAGTAACGCACAGAAACAGTCTTATAATGAATATACAACGTATATTGTTTAATCAAGGGTCTCGGTGTGTTAAAACAAGGGGTCTCTCATCCTCCCAATTCAAAGATGGCCGAACAGCAGCATTGACGTATGAATTTTGGCGCTTTCTCCACGAGATTAAAACGCCCTAAAATCGTATAACATCAGATAAAATGTGAGAACTCGCCGGTGTTGTTATGTTAACATAAGGTATTTGTTTATTTTGCGAATGCGGAAGTTAAAGTATTAACACGATTGTTTGAAACCTCTCGCAGATTACATGGCACATGCTTGAATCTGCAGTGTAAGTTACAGTAAAAACTAACATTGACGCACAAACGTTGTTAAATTTTAAAATGTAAGCGAATTCTTGTTCATCTTCAGTTAATGTGCATCATTTTGTTGTTCTTTTGCTGTAGTTTGGACATTTTGACCTTTTAATACAGACGTGGCATAGAAGAGCATCATTCATATGACATTTGGACTGAAGGGACTAAGTTAATGTAACCTTGTAATTGTAGAATCATATAAATTGTGATGCTTGCTGATACAATTATTTACAAATCAATAATGAAATGTTTTATGTCCTTTTGTGTTTTAATCCATGCATCTTATATTTAGATTAATTCTTTAATCTAAAATAATTTTATTAACTTTTATTCCGGCGTTTATATCTATTTTGCAGTTAGTCTTAATGAGGTCAGAAAGTCTAAAATGTAACAAGTCATGACACTAAATGTTGAAATGCATTAACTGAAGTTTTTCTAGAATACAGCAGTTTAAATGTACTTAAATTAAGATACATTTAGGTAATAAACAATGATGAAGTACAGACGACCAACTTTAGATCTCTTATCAATCAAGATTCTTTTAAATTCTTTGAAAATAAAACAGAAATACTAGCGAAAAAACATTGTTTATCTGTAAAAAAAAAAGTGAAGATTTTTTTTCTTGTTGTTGAAATTTTAACGAATATGAATTCTTTTTATTTACTAATTTAAAAAAAACATTTGTTATTTGTTATAGAAATCATAAACTCGATTTTCACATGACTAGACATATGAATTCTTTAAAATTTTGCACTGGAAAATAAAACAAATACTATGAAGAATCACTTTTTTTACAGTGTGTTCAGACGATGCAGTAGAAGTTATTTCCATATCATAATATTTAGGAGCGTGATCATGTTTTATTTACTTAAACCATCCTTCATAAAACCTGCAAACCTTGTTTATGAAGAATATTTTTGCAATAATACTCATTTCCTGGTATAAGCCTATGAGAAGGCATGATTTAGATGTTAGTATTTGATTATATTGATTTTCTCGTCACATTAGTGATGAACAGGATCCGGATCCATGTCCTGCCATCCAGCAGAGGTCGAGTGACTCAGGCTGCTCGTGCTCAAGAACCTCAGACCTGCTCGTACACCCAAAGACCGTGTTCACAGCCACGTCTGGAAGGCCTGGAGTTCTGCATCAAACACGTGCTTGAAGACAAAAACGCTCCATACAGGCAATGCAGCTACATGTCCAACAAGAATGGCAAGCGATGTCCCAATGCAGCCCCTAAACCTGAGAAAAAGGAGTCGTGGGTTTTTTTGGTTGCTCATGCTCACTTAAAATAATTATAATGTCCTCTTATGGATAATTGACCATTGTTTTTTTTTCCCCTTTTAGGGTTTCATTCTGTGCTGAGCATGCACGCAGAAATGCATTGGTTCAGCAGGCTCAAATGCGGAAAGCATCCGCTTCGGGACCGTCCCCTGAAGTCCTGCTCTCGCAGCTGAGTGGCTACAGTCGGCCTGAACCTGGAGCTCACAGTCAAGAAGGTCATAGTGAAGCTAGCCGAATACTAGGTGAGATTTAATTAGCTTTTTATGGCCCTTCTCCATTGAGTGGTACGGTATGGTACAGTACGGGTCACTTTTATCCACTGCTAAAAGGGTACCAATGGTACTCTTTTGGTATGTGTGGTGTACAACAGAAAGTTTCAGTTAACATCATTCTTACTTGAGAAAATATCAAAGTAAAGCAGTGCGGGTCATTCACATATCATATAAGAAGCACTTCTCACAAAACAGATGCTGTTACTTGTGTATAAATACTTGTGTATAAATTTCATTACTAACCTTTCTATGAACATGATTTGATTGTAACTGCAGATCAATGACAGTGCGAAATAGCCTACTGTAACATCTACAATTATATAAAATAAATAAATGCAACATGTATAAACATTTGCAGACCCTTACATTCTTCAATATGTTACCAATAATAAAAAAAACTACACGCAGCATACATTTAGTCCTTATTTGGGTTCAAAAACAACACGCAACATATAGCTCGCAGTCAGAGCAAACCTCTCATCTGTATCTTTAATATTCGGCAGCACATGGAAGCTCTGTTAGAGAGTAATTTTATCATTCAGAGTTCATAATAGTCCAAAAAGTGAGGATAATGGGTAAACATGGCAGTTTGTTCATCTTTTAGGTTGCTAAAAGAATCATTGACTTTTTTGTTTTTTTATGGCTTCTCCTTTGTTTTTTCTCGCGTTTGTGCGTTTCTGACAGGATCGGATGTCAGAAGCACTTCAATACACGCACTTTATTATCTTCAGCTCAAGAAGTTTGTTATTTCAAATATAGATGTGCGGCGAGTACAATCGAGAAAACGAAACCACTTGCACTTTAGACAGCCTTGTAAAAAGCATATGGGGCACAGGGTAAAATCTGCTCTTCTTGGCATTATGGCTGTTCAGCAAGAAGCTGACAAGGTTTGTTTGAGCTCGGGTCGACCATGGCTCATTATTATTTGTGTATATTCTTACTGTGAAATGTCTCGGCTGTGTATTTAAAACATGGCATTTCTTTTCGTTGTGGCTTGCTGCACGAGCAAGTGTCATATCTCTGTAAACAAATAGCATTCAGTTACGGATCTAGCTTCGTCTTTTGGTACCCTTGTTGTTTTGCGTATTAACCAAGCATTACGTTGGAATGTTAAGTTGGGTCACGTGGCTCATACAATAGAGATTGTGCCAAAGCAGCTTTAAGCAAATAATCATAGAAGTCGGGTTTGAATTTACAACTAGAGTCTGTTTGGTGATAATTCAGTATGTAATGCACATAAACTGTGTGTGTGTCACCTGATAATTTTAGCCAACTTAAATTTGTAAAGTGTCTTTAGGTTTGTTGCTGCTGCAGAAAAGATGATGTGATGTAAAAAAAAAAAAGAAAAAAAAACAGCCACTAAAACTGAAAATGCTGCCTTGAAAAATATAACATTTAAACTGTTAATTAAACGATAATATAATAAAATTCTAAAAGTATTAACATTATATACTACTAATATTGGTTTGTGTTATTTTTGTCATTTAATAATTTGATTATATTGTTTATTTTCTTAGGATAAGATAGAAGAAAAATATATTTACTACAATAAAATTAGAGGTGTGAACCTATACTGGTCTCACGGTTCGGTTACGATTATCATGCCTTCGGTTCAATTCGATATTTCGGTGCATCACGGTGTATTGACAATGCTTTCCATATACAGTGTTATATTTTAGAGGAGAGGCTATATCAAGCTGTCTGTAAACACACAGAGACACAGCACCACACTGTCTCTCATTCAAACACAAACATAGACAGCACCAAAGAAACTAACACACACGCACACACACTTAAGCCCTCGCAACAGGGAGAGCTCGCGAAGAGCGGAGCAGAAAAACGGAAAAAAAAAATGAATAAAATAAGCACTTTTCCGACGGTCCCTTGCTGTGAGCTCCTCTCAGTGCGAGCTATCCTGGCTAAACACATATTGCGAGGGCTTAAATGGAGCAGTGCCCATAGTGTGGAGCAAAAAAGAAAGAAAGACGGCTGTGAAACATAACCAGCTTTGTAGGAAACACACTTTAGATCTTTTTAGGGTAAAAGGTTTTTGAGTTATTGCCGTCTGTAACTGAATGTGTGTCAAGAATATCGAAAACAAAACCAACTGAACCGCGCTCCTTTCTGGCGCCCTCCTGGATATACAGCGCCCTTAGCATTTCCCTATGGTGCCTATGCCACGGACCGGCCCCGAGTTGGCTGAGTGTTGTAAATACTCGCGCTCACCTCCCTCGCGACAGAGTGCATAGGAGATAAATGACGTCAGTAAATAATAACCGGTTATGATAATTACTGAACCGATACTGAATTGTCCGCGTCTGCATCGCGGTGCACCAAAAAAACAATTAATTTTGACACCCCTAAATAAAATGTACATTTTTTTTTACTATTTGGAAAAAAGTTTGATTGATCGAAATCCATATTATTGTCATTCATGTATATATTTAGTTATTAGTATAAATGTATTATAATAAATTCATTCACAATTCATTAATATGGTAGTGATTCTCATGTTTTGATTTAAATGCAAATTATTATTATTAAAACCAATAATAACCAAAAAAAACTTTTTTTTTTGGCTGTTTTGCTTTACTATTATACAAGATGTCAAATAAAAACAGAGCATAACAATTTAATTTGTATATGACATTGTCTATCTCATTTTCTTTTTTGTGATACAATTCTGTCTTTCTGATTTTCCTTGTTTAGATGATGAGAGTTGGAGTGAAGAAGAGCAGGATCCAGTTGTTTTGGATCAGACCTGGAGAGGAGACCCTGACAGTGAAGCTGAAAGTCTCGACAGTGACCACGAAGACCCTTTGAAGTGAGGAACTTTACAGTTTTTCAGTTTCGATAAATGTCAACTGAATCATCAATTTATTTAGTGTGGTTTGATTCTATAGGCATGCAGGGGTTTACACAGCAGAGGAAGTGGCACTCATCACACGTGAAAAGCTTATCAGACTTCAGTCCCTCTACATAGACCAATTTAAACGTCTGCAACACTTACTAAAAGAAAAGAAACGCCGTTACCTGCACAGCCGCAAGATTGAACATGAGACTATCGGTGAGACTGCTGTTGTTTGTGTGTATATATATATATGTGTGTGTGTGTGTGTGTTTATATATATATATATATATATATATATATATATATATATATATATATATATATGTGTGTGTGTTTATATTTATTTATTTATGTTTTTAGCCTACTACATATACATGCATGTATAAACACACAAACACACTCAGGTCTGTTTTTGTGATTCAGGGAGCAGCCTGTTAACTGGTCCAGAAGGGCTATCTATGAAGGAAAGGGAGAACTTAAAGAAGTTAAAGGCTTTGCGGCGTTATCGGCGTCGTTATGGTGTGGAGGCTTTGCTGCACCGTCAGCTCAGAGAACGAAGACAAGCAATCACTGAAGGAGGACCGACACAGGTATGGATGGACTTTAAACCATAATGCATCAATCTGATGTCAAAAATTAGAAGGGACTAAAGCAAATGTTGTGTCTTTGTTTTGCCTCTATTTGGGCCAAAAAGCTTTTCTTGAACACAACAGTAGCACTGCAGGTGATGATCACAGGTGCATCCTGTGTGAAAGGAAAAAAAAAAAACTTTCTTTGTCTGTATCAACGGATATCAATGAATAAAAAAAAAAGTGAAAGCAAAACAATGACTGCATATATAAAAAAGTAAACAAAGCAGTGTTCGTTTACCATTTTGAACATAGTCATCAGTTTTTTTCATTTCATGTGCTCATGCTATGATACTGATATATTGGAATGCATGGGGGGATAATGTAACATTAAAAGGGCCTTTTATCATTGGCATCTTATGTTTTGCTTGCATTACGTTTTATTGTTTTGTTCTAAAAAGCCATTCAGAGCGATCTGTGTCACCAATGGCCTTGAGGCTTATTCAACACGCCCAATGTTCAGCAACCTGAGCCTAACTAAAGCAGATTTGTAGACCACAGTGCAAAAACTAACTCAACAGATGGTCACTGACAGCTTAATGTGTCATGGCCATTGTGAATTTGAATGTTTAAAATAACCAATTTAAAGCTCCGCAATCTCATTTGAAAGACAACTGAATTCAATTGAATCGTCCTCACTTTTTATTGTTATTTTTAATGTCTTTAATGTCGTCATTTTTTTTTCTTCACAGGCAATGCGTTTAGGCCAGAGGTGCATTTCCTTTGTGGAAGGGACACGCTGTTCAAATCAGTGTCTGCCAATGACAAGACATTGTGTCTCTCGTATCCTTTATGTCTTGTGTTTCTCTGACTCTTATGTTCAGTTTTTTTTTCTGTTAAGTAGTAAAGTCTTTTCTGTTTAATTTTTGGGGTTGGTAACATTTCTTTGATGTTTAAGAAAAATCAAATGATAGCAAGGCTGTATTTATTTGCTTGAGAATAACAGCAATATATTTATCATGTAAATATGTATGCATCATTTTATAATATATTATGAAATGATGCATGCAAGTTTACATAATATTTTTTTCTAATATAATACACTTTAAAATATAATTTATTTCATAGACTGCATTATATATATATATAAGTATATATATATTATATATATAAGTATATATATATATATAGGGCCGTGTGATCAGCTGATGCTTTTACATTAGGCTCAATTACCTAATTACAGCAAAGTTCATTTGATTCCCTCCCTACCTGCCTCTCAAATTTGTACTCAGAAAAGTAGTTTATCAGCATGCTAAGACTGAGCAGCACACGTGTCTGTTCATAACGAGTTCAAATGAACTGTAATTTTTTCCACTTTTTTAGTTGTGCAGTAATTAGATAAACAGCACATCAGTTATTTGTGTCAGTAAGCAATTAAACTCACAAATACTAACCAATTTGACCATTTTGTACGTAATTAATAGCTTCTCACTTCCATGGTTTGGTGCTATATTAACTGTCCCAGAGATCTGTGAACTTTTCACCAGACCACCCTTTTCAGGTGGTCCTGCGCACACCAAGACCAGCTTATTTTACATTTTCACCAAACCACAAGCATTGCAAATTTGCACGATCCTGTGTTCTACACTATTTGAATTGCATCCAAGTGAATTAAATCTTGCATGCAAAAGTGCTTTTCTAGTACCATATCAGATCTGCATTTTTTATTTTTATCGCCAATGTGCACCTGTGCACCAGTTAGGTAGTATTTTGTAGCCCTGAATCAAGGCCCGCAGCTTGCTGTAGCTGTTGGTTTCAAACAGCGGCTGACACAAAACACTTCTTAAGGTCTGTTGACTTTCCCAAAATGATCTGATGGGTTAAGTCGATTTCATTTTGAAGGAACATTTTAAGTTCTCCACCTCTTCCCACCTTCCATATCTTTGACATTAAGACACTTTTTTTCCCCAGTGCTAGTTCTCCAAATCTCCTTAACACCCCACCACAGACATTTACCAAGACAGCAGCCAAGTTTTATTCAAGCTGTGCCCTGGTCTTAAGGACGTCCCATGCGATCGTCCTGTCCACATGGGACAGTCGGAGGAGCCCCGCTGTCCTCTACACCTGTCCCTGCCTCCACCCATGTACCAGCCCGAGCAGGAGTCTCTCGCCCCGGAGCAGCTGGCGTCTGCGCCCACAGACATGTACCTCAGTGCCGCCGAGCTCCAGCCAACAGAAAATCTACCTCTGGAATTCAGTGATGTATGATTTGTGTTGCTTTTTCTCATTAAAACAAGTCAATGTGTGCAGTCACTCTCCTCATGTGTTTTTGGCACATCCCTTCATAAGTTGGGTATCATCAGAATAATTAAATCGGCATCTGCACTAAATTTGTTCTCCAGAACACCTTGCTTCGCTGAGGTATCCATCATGTATCTACATGCCTGCAAACAGTGCTGCTCAAACACGTCCCCCGCTGTGTAAATCATATCCCATACTCTTACATGAATGAACAACAAATTAATCTGAATGTTCAACTGTCATCTTCCTCTAATTTTGTGTCTGACATTTTGTGTGTGCCCACAGTAAAAACCTCATTTAATCTCATTTTTGGAAACGTTTAATTTGCCTGTTATGCTGCATTGCATAATTTATTTATGTATTTTCCCCGATGCCTGTTTGCAAAACCAATTTTGATGTTTTACTGATTAATTGGGCTGGTTGTTAGACCAGTGTACTCAGTCAGTGAGTACGTATACATGGACGCTAATAATCAGATTTTAATATGATTAAGACAATACTCTGATTAAAAGTCTAACATGGAAAAAAGCAATTTTTGATCAACCTGATTAAGGTCATAATTGAGCTAAAGAAAAATCAGATTAAGACATGTTAAGTATGCCAATTTTAGTCGCATTATTGAAGTACAGTACAGACATGTAAAGACCTTAAACTTATCATGTAGGACTTTTCGTTAATCAAATTATGTGCTATAACATGTAAAACCAGATCATGAAAGGAACATGCAAAAAGCAACATGTGTAAACGCCTTAATCATATTATTGTCTTATTCAGATTAGGGCACTGTTAGAATACAATTTAGTAGCCTTTTTGAAAATATAAGCTGTTGCAAAAACTATATATTATAGCTAATATAATAAATGAATAAAAAAGTGCACAATATATGGATATTAAGATCATTTTAGTCATCAATCTATATTGTTATTTTTAATCAGTTCATAGAAACATTTTACACATGGTTCACCTTTTTGGAGTCTTTATAATAAGAATTTATTAATACTGTAAATATAATATTTAGCAATTTCTTAATACCATACATTATACGTTAATCTTAGCATTAATGCTATTTGATTCTATTTTTTATTTATTAATAAAATATTTAATTTGAAGCATTTTTTTATAAAATTGTTATTATTAATTATAGATTGCTGCATTTGTGATGTCAAAATTTGCAAGTCTAATTCACTGCTGGTGCACTCTAACCCTTTAATACTTTTACAATTTCTTACAAGTAAAATCAAGTTTTGTTATGTAGCTTGAAAGATAAACACACCCCAAACCTTCTTATCTAATTTCTTATAAGAAGCATGTTTAATAAAACATGGTTTTCATACACTGTAAAACCCAAAATGTTAAGATAACTCAAACCATTTGAGGAAACCAATTGCAACAAACCATTTAACTTTAAAAACTATTCCTAATAAGTTCCGTGAACTTACTCCATTTGAGTAAACGAAGCAATTTGAGCACAGTAAACCTAGTAAATGAAGAGAACTCAAACCAACTGAGTACTGTAAAACCCAATAAACGAAGGCAACTTAAACCATTTGAGGAAACCGATTGCAACAAACCACAAGTTCAAAAACTAATCCTAATGAGTATTGTAAACTTACTCCATTTAAGTTAAAGCAATGAGGTATTTAACTCATTACCTTCAACACTGACTTCAAAACTCTTTTCAAATGAGTAGAAATAACATTCAGTCAATTTTGAGTTAACTACACTCATTTGATAAAGTTGACTGTTGGGTTTTACAGTGTTTTTGTATGTACGTTGTAGAACAAAACATTGAACAAAAACAAGTGGTGTGTACCACAAGTCATATTTTACATTAGAATTTTTTAATAATCAGAAATGTAAATCAAATTAGTCTTCCTGATGTTGACGTCACCATTGCAGCACTCTGTAACCAGTAGTAATGGCCAAACGTCGTTTAAAATCACAACATAAAACAATGAACAGAATCAAAATGTAGTATTAATCATGAGTGGATAATTATTCAAATTTCTTGGCGTGCAGGATCTTGATGTTGAAGATGAGGGTTTGCAGTGTCCGCCGTCCCCCTTGCTCTTTGACACAGCGCTCGCATTAGAAGACCAAACCATCAGAGAGATCGCCGAAGCCCCCATGGACATCCTGACCGGGGCTGAGCAGGGCGATCTGGACGCCTCTGCCCAAGACGCTGAACTCTCAGAGAGAGATGAGGTGTCTGTTGAAGACTCGGTAATCATTATTGTTGCTTGTTAAAATGAGAAATTCTGTTTTCTATTTCTTGGGCATTTAAGCCCTTTAACTCATGTCTTGTTTTACAGGTTGACACTGAAATACTTGAAGCAGTTGAACAAGCAATCCCCATGCAGAATTCATCAAAAGACTCTGACACCAAAACAACAGATGCCTTATCCTGAGCACCTTATGACCTGATTTTCTCAGCTGCTGTGCTGTTTATAATTCCAAACAGTTCATATATCTATTTAAAAGCCATAATTCTGGATTTCTTGTGAAATATTTTAGCCTAACATTCTCATTACTTAAAATAACACATAATCTGATTTAGATTATGCTTCGTGAAACTAAAAGGACAGCAGTTACAATATACAGTATGTGACGCATGTGTTTCACTACAGAAAGTCTACCGTTTTCACTTTTTATCCTGTACATTTCTGGTTCCATATCATATTCACGACTCATACTGGGATTTGTTCACTAAAATAAACCTTTACATCTCATCTCGCTCTTGTTAATTATAATTTTGCACTCATGAAAGCAGCTCCTCTGGGATAGTCTGGGTTCCCACGGTCTTGGAAAACCTAGAAACATCAGGGTAATTTTCAGCCTCGGAGATTTCTATAGTGCATAAACCTGATTCAGTAATGTGTGAGTTGCTTGCGAACGTGAGCTATTTGATTTGTGAGTGAAATGTTCTGGGTCAGATAATTTTCATAATTCATATTGAAATGTTTTATTATGAAGCGGTCTTACTGGATTTTTATAAATATTGATAAAGTAAAGAAATGACTGGAGAGGTCATGCAAACTAGTCAAGAAGAACAAGAACCCTATAGAGAAACAATAGTGTTTAGAATGTTTAGTTGTTGATAAAATATTTTAATCACCAAATATCTTTAGAAATGGAAAGATAATACATTTAAAATAACACAAAGTATTGCCAAAATAAATTGCAACGTACAAAAGTTCATCTAACATTTTTCTTTTTTTTTCTTAATTTTTGCTAATTTTGAAATTTTTATTTAATATTTTTCCTTAACATGAATTTGGGCTACTAATTTTTTTTTACCATTATTGTAAGTTATTTTGTTAGATGAGCTCCAGTTTAGCTTGATTGTTGACTAAACTAATGTATATGCACAAATATAATACTGTAAAGCATCTTATAGAAAATTAAATAATTTAATTGAGAGATTTGTGAGAGTGTACTCGTATATGCTGAGCACTGTATATGCTAGCTGGTAAATAAATACAAAAGATTAGTACAAAAACAGTGAACACTTTGAAGGTCAGAAACGACTGCATTTGGGAACATAAATACATCTAGCAGAAACTTTGTTTAATTTTTGATTGTATATTTGAAGCAGAACATGTTTCGGAAAGGTTTACAGGCAATAATCTGTCACGTGTCTTTAAACGTCCAATATTATTTCTGTTCTGTAAAGCAACTAGTTTTTAAGAAATTTAAGTGACTAGTTTATTAACTAATATACCAATAATTAAGTACAATTTAAGACTTAAAAAGTACACTGGTAATAAATTAATTGTAAATATTGCATTAATATAATTTATTATTAGGGCCAGCATGGTGGCTCAGTGGTTAGCACTGTTGCCTCACTGCAAGAAGGTCGCTGGTTCAAGCCCTGACTGAGTCAGTTGACAATTCTGTGTGGAGTTTGCATATTCTCCCTGTGTTGGCATGGGTTTTCTCTGGGTGCTCAAGTTTCCCCCACAAGTCCAAAGACATGCGCTAGATATATTGAAAGAACTGAATTGGCCTTAGTATATGTGTGTAAAGGTGAGGGTGTTTTACAGTACTATGTTGCAGATGGAAGGGCATCTGCTGTGTAAAACATGTGCTGGATAAGTTGGCAGTTCATTCCGCTGTGGCGACCCCTGATTAATAAAGGGACTAAGCCAAAAAGAAAATGAATGAATGATTAAGGAAATTGGCACCAGTATATGTGTGTGAATCTGAAGATGTGGGTGTTTTCCAGTATTGGGTTGCAGCTGGAAGGACACTCACTGCATAAAACATATGCTGGATAAGTTAGTGGTTCAGTTCGTTTTGGCGACCCCAGATTAATGAAGGTACTAAGCCAAAAATAAAATAAATGAAATTGGCCCTAGTGTATGTGTGTTTCCAGGGATGCAGCTGAAAGGGCGTCCGCTGTGTAAAACATAAGCTGGATAAATTGGCGATTCATTCCGCTGTGGTGACCCCTGATAAATAAAGGTTCTAAGCCAAAGGAAAATGAATGATTAATTATTAATGTAAAAATACAAAGTTAGACAAACATTTTAAAAATAAAACATAAATGAAAAATAAATAAATAAAATGAGACTGTGATTTTAACAGCGCAAGGGTTGAACTAATAAATGAAATATTATTAAACAATGAAACTTACAGTTGGTAGCAAGACATGCTAAATGTTGTCACAAGACCATTGATTTACTGCTTAATCCTGACAGACCTAAATAAAGCCGAGCCGCTGTTTGTTTAGTCACGAGTCATGATTAAATCACTGCAGATGCGTAGCAAAATCAAATAAAACGCGTTAATAAATTAAACAAAAACTCCATCTAAATAAAATAAACATACAAGTCAAAGATATAAATGAAAACATGCGTCTGAAAACGCTACGTGGAGCACAACACAGGCCCTTTTACTAAAAGTGGGGCGGGCATCACAATTTCAAGCCCATGACATCACTTTTCCTGCGAGTGCTTTAACCTAAACACGGGAAGAGAGCGACGGATGGGAAGAGACGACGATAAAACCTCTAATCAGCGGCTGGGAAGACAGATAAACATGTCCACAAGCTGTGAATTCAATAGTACAGTGCAAGGTATTTCTTAGCGATACTCATCGGGGATATTTTCACACCTTCTGAAGAAACGCAAGGATCGCGCGAGGTAAAGAGATGCAATTTTTCTAGCTTATCGCGCGCTCGGTTTGACGTTTACATGTCGGTGTTATGCTTATTTTGCAAAATGTAATGTACTATGGGGGTAATTTGTGTTTGTTATGGTGTTATATGTTGATGTAAGACTGGAATGGGGAATGTGGGGCATTAGCCATCCGGCTATCTGGGACACCGGTGGGCTTGAAGTCTGTGAGGATGCTTGCTGGCTTGTGATATCCTGCTTTGCTCGGAAATGCATTACGCTTGTTTTGTTAAATCATTCATTTTACCACAATCCGAGTTGGCTTTATATATGTGGACCTCGCATTTTTCCATGCCAGTGCATAAAAAAACAATAATCCGTTCTTATCCTAAGCCTGTGCATCAGTTTGGATCCCTGTGTTTTATGTGGTTCAATCTATAGCCCTTCCTCTTTCTACAGCACAGGCTGTTTATAGTTACACACTTTGGCAACCCACAACTTTTGTGTTTACTTGTGTGTGATGAGAACGCAGGCTGCATTGTAAAATTGCTAATTTTGGCAGTTCATTCCGCTTGAGACCCTAAAAACAGCAACTAATTCAAGAGTAATTGAGGGTAAAAGCATGCCCCCGGCCCCTCCCCTTTAATATTTTACAGATGTTTTTCACATTTGCAAGTCCCATGTTCAAAACCATGTCAAGAGTACTTTTACAACCTACAGCTCTCTTACATTGAATATTCGCTTTACAAGTAGATGTGTTTGGAAGATTTTTCAGTTTTTTAGTCTCTTAGGTGGAGTTTATAGATTTTTGTTAGACAATCAATACTGTTTTAAAGGGTCATCTTTTGTGGAATCTCTTTAATTGCGTTTTCCTAATTTGTAATGCGATTACATTTTCCTAACTGTTCCCTACCATATTAATTTTAACTTATTTGTTTTATAAATATGCACATATATCTGGTTTTCAGATCTATATTTGATAATGGTGTATTCATTTTATTGTTATTTTTATTGTGTTTTACAAATTGTCATTATTAAAGATGTCATTTTTAGGAATTTTATTTCCATAGCAGTTCATTTCTTTTTAAGTTATCTGTCTGCCAGCTAAATTATATTAAAGAGAATTAGTTTTAGAAAAATTAATTCTACCATCCACACTTGACCTAATCCGGACCAATTTCTTTCCTGTTGAATGCAAAAGAAGATATTTTAAAGAATGTTGTATACCTTTAACTACTGACATCAATAGTAGGAAAAAAGAACTGTAAAAAAAATTGTTGTTTTACCCCAGCTACCGGGAAAAAATCGTACAGTAAAGTAACAGATATTAAAATTACAGAAATTTCCTTACATTTCTGTAATTTAGGGAATGTTATTTTATAGTAAATTTCAGTAATTTAACGTCTGTTATTTTATGGTATATCAGTAATTTAATGTCTGTTATTTTATAGTAAATTTCAGTAATTTAGCGTCTGTTATTTTATGGTAAATCAGTAATTTAACGTCTGTTATTTTATGGTAAGTTTCAGTAATTAAACATCTGTTATTTTATAGTAAATTTCAGTAATTTAACATCTGTTATTTTATGGTTCTCAGTAATTTAGTGCCTGTTATTTTATAGTAAATTTCTGTAATTTAACGTCTGTATTTTATGGTATATCAGTAATTTAACGTCTGTTATTTTATAGTAAATTTCTGTAATTTAATAGCTCATATTTTATGGTAAATTTCTGTAATTTAACGTCTGTTATTTTACGGTAAATTTCAATAATTTAATCCCTGTTATTTTATAGTAAATTTCAGTAATTTAACATCTGTTATTTTATGGTTTATCAGTAATTTAGCGTCTGTTATTTTATAGTAAATTTCAGTAATTTAACATCTGTTATTTTATGGTTTATCAGTAATTTAGCGTCTGTTATTTTATAGTAAATTTCTGTAATTTAACGTCTGTTATTTTATGGTAAATTTCAATAATTTAATCCCTGTTATTTTATAGTAAATTTCAGTAATTTAACATCTGTTATTTTATGGTTTATCAGTAATTTAGCGTCTGTTATTTTATAGTAAATTTCTGTAATTTAACGTCTGTTATTTTATAGTAAATTTCTGTAATTTAATAGCTGATATTTTATGGTAAATTTCTGTAATTTAACGTCTGTTATTTTACGGTAAATTTCAATAATTTAATACTTGTTATTTTAAGATACATTTCTGTAATTTAACAGCTGATATTTTATGGTAAATTTCTGTAAATTAGCAGCTGTTATTGTTTTTATTCAACTGGGGTAAAATAACTGCATTTTTTACAGTGTACTATGAAAGTCAATAGTTACAGGTTTTCAACATTTTTCAGTATATCTTATTTTGTGTTCAACTGAACAAAACAAATAAATAATTATAAATTGATAAGTCTTTTATTCTTCTAATTGATTAGAATGGAACGGGTCAAAAAACACCAAAACACATTTTTTGAGATGTTGACAATCATTTATATTTCCCGCATTGCTAGAAACACTGTTAGGACTCATATTTTTAGCAAAAAAATGAAAATGGATTGTTTTTGCATTGTTTAGAGCAAATTCGTTCTTTCAGTTTGAAAAAAACATTTT